CCCTCTCTCAACTAAATATTTGTAAGGGAAACTCAGCAACCACAGGGACAGTGTTACACTGCAACATGATTAGTTCATAACTTGATGGAAACCATAATTTTGTTTGTATCTTAATATTTTATATTGTTCTCTTGTACAATTGTATCATATTTTACGTATTAATGTATATCTAGGGTTGAATGTTTCAACTTGAATGTTGCTGCCAATAAATGATACAAGATTTTGTATTTTCCCTTTTTTTTTATTTTTCTTCCTCTACTTTATATGTTAGGAAGTTGAACTTGTTGCTTATAGTTAACTTGACAAGTATGGCAATAACTAACAGTTATGCCACCTTACAAATTTTCATTAGCTAGGAATCTTTATAAAATTTGATATGCCACAGTCCTGCTTCTCATTAGCAAACATTTAAAGAGAATTGAAACAAAACAAGCTCCTTTTTTACTAACTTCAGTTTCAGTTGTGAATACCTGATTAGTACATATATTTATAGCCACTGTATATGCTTAATTTTAATATTCTAAATTACAGAATGTTCAATTTTAATATTGACAGGAAAGTTTGAATCTTAAACTGAAAAGCAATCACTGAGAACGCCATTCTCTTCAAGTGTTTGCAACCACTCATTACGCTTTTTAATAGAAACCTTCTTATTTAGATTAAAAGTCGCTTAGGTGGGAATGGTTCAAGGAGCAACCCTTCCAAAGATTTCACTCTTGTTATACCAACATAACTAATACCGGTTGACATTTCTTTAACTCCAATATTAACGTAAGCCTGTAACAAAATAACTATTTTTATCCTGTACAACACTGCATTGATATTTAGGTTTAAATTGGCATACCGTACCTTCTGAAGACTAAGACTTTGAGATTTATGGATGCAGCAAACAAAACATAATGTTAGAGGGAATTGTGTCCTAGTACAAGATTGTCCACTTTTGTCCTTCCATGATTTGGTTACTGGTATTATAGGAACTAATCCATCAACTGATGGTCCATCATAGTTACCTAGTTTGCAGATAATAACTGCAGGTAAAACATTTGGTGGACAACAATTTTCATGGTACAATATGTCCACTACTGTTGCCATTGCACCATTGACAAGTCCTTTTTCAGTCCAGGTGTTTATGTTGAGCATAACTCTTGAACATTTTGATAAGTATAGAACTGGTGGAAGTCCTTCTGCATCATCAATACTTCCACTTGACGCAGATTTGCAGTTGTGTAGAGATGGAATTCTTGCTATGGGACAAAGGCAATTGTTCTCATCTTTCAGATTCTCCAGTCTTAATCGATTGTGGTGCAGAACTTCTAGCCGAGTTGAATAAAGATAAACGGCATCAAGAAATGAAAGTCGTTCTTCTTTGGACACACTTGTGGTAAATCTTTGTTTTAAAATATCATAGTCAGCAATAGAAACTGTTCCATCACCAACATTGTTTAGTAATTGTTGAAATGAAGTATCTTTCTGTCTATGAATTGTCTTTAACACAATTACTCCTTGGAAATTATCAAAAATTAATTTCCCACGTAGTCTTTCTGAACTTAATACCTTATCTGAATAAACTGGAGTATCTGCAACTGGTGCAAGTTGTTTAGCATCACCAAAAAGATATACAAAACACGAAGAGAAATCTTCTCCTGTGAATCCTTTAGCTTCTTGTATTCTCTTTTCATATGCATAGCGTTGCAACCAATCATACTGTATTCATCTATTAATCTAAATTTAATTTTTTCAAATTTCTTCTGAATGTTATGAGAAGCTTGTCCTTTGAGAGGGCCAAAGTCTTTGGTCTTCAAATTGATATGTAAAGCAGAATGGTACGTTGAACCATTAACATTTTTGGCGCTAACACCAGTTGGAGTCATTATAATGTATGATCCCTCACCTAATTGAGTATAAATTTTATGGGTCATAGCATGAATAACCAGACTCTTACCAGTTCCTACAAAAGAATAATAATTAAAATTAGTTAAATATTCACCAGTATTACATATTTAAAAGGTAGTTTAAATGTATTTTGTTTTAAACTTACCAGCTCTGCCTTGAACAATTATTCGTTTTGGCAACAAAAAATTGGGTGAAAATTGGGTGTCATTTAAAGACTTTAATTGTAAGTCCAACAATTCCATGACACTTTGCTGTTCAGGTGAGAAAACAACGTTGGGCGGTGTTATTGGTATTGCTGAGGTGGTTTCTTGCTCCTTTGCCAGTTGAATGAAGGTACTTAAAAATGGTATTCCTCCCAAAGATTCATATTTCTGTAGTGGAGCATGCCAATCATTGTTAATATCTATGTCTCGCCTACCAAGTTCTACTTTCTCCACAATTTGGCCTGGACCCATTCTGGAAATTGTCATCCATTCTTCGATGGAGTAGTAATCTTCATTAATATCAACTATATTTTCAAATCCAGAATCTTGTGGGCTTACTTCATCCAAATTGCATTTGACTAAACTGTTTGATCTAATAAGTTCCATGTTTGCATCATAGATATCTTTCCATTGCAATTCATTTTGAATGAACTCTTCTTCATGTCTCCATGTAATGTACATTAAAACTTGTTGACGATAATACAACTCATTGTGATCATCTTCACCTGGCTTCAGTTGATAATTAGGATATATTTGGAGTATTGCTTCTTTTCCATATTTTTCACCTGAAGACAAATTAAAGTTCTTTGCCATATAGCACAGACTTTCATTATCATATTGAATTGCTCTGTCTTTATATCTTTCAAAGATTGTCTTTGGTTGTTTACGATTGTCTTGAGGAATAAATATCCATTCACCAGACTTACGTGAAAAGTTTACTGTTATAAAGTTTCTCCCTCCAGCTGAGTACAGTCTTCTACCACTAATGAGATGGCAAGTCTCTTGCGCACTGTAGTCTCTTTCTGAACAACATTGTATGTAGAGCCTTTGAATTATACTTTTAACAAACTTGTCATCATCTGTGTTTTGCAGTTAACTTTTTAGAATGTCTATTAACTGTTTAGATTCCTTTTCAGGCTGAGAAATATACTTTGCTAAGTAGTTAATAAGAGCTTGTTTTGAAAGAACAGGGGTAAAATCAATATTGGCTCGCCATGTTTGAAGTATGTAAGGATTAAAATTATTTAGTAAAGGATCATTCCTTTCAGTGACTAGTTCATATTGGTTATTTTCATTAAGCACTAAATCTCTTGCTTCTTGAAGAGCCTTTGGAAATTTAAATCGACAGCCTTTCGACTTAGTTTTTTTGTTATACCTTATACAGTAGCCATCACTGCATTTGGAATGACGTTGCACCTTGTTTAAGAGTTGAGCAAGATCCTTTTGCATGTCGTCAACTTCATTTACTTGAATTCTGCAAGGATGAACTGGGGCAAGCCTTTCATTTATATTGGGATGCATTGTTTTTACAAATTGATCGAAGAATTTGATGATTGATCTTTTTTCTTCAAGAGTTGCGTTACTTAGGTTTGTCAGGTCTGGAGCATCATCTAACCATAATAAGCCATGGATATGTGGGCTTCCCCTTAGGAAAATAAATAACA